AGGACCCTGAGATGCATCTCATCCGGAACAGATGGCTTGAACTCATTGAGTTTCAGACAGTGCTCTCTCACCATCTCCTCACTCATCTTGGATTTCAACTGATTATTCGATATTATCTTAACCTATCCTTCCCAGTCCAAAGATTGCCTTCTTAGATTAAAAACAAACCAAAAAAAAAATAATTTAGGAGTTGGGCTTTCTCTCACTCCCTCCAATTTCACTTTCGGACTGCTCGGGTCTTGAGGGAGGGGAACTGTTCTCTTGATCAGTTTATTGTTTTTCTTTGGCACTGGGCAGTTGAAAGTACAATTGGGCTTAGCTTGGGACTAACTTAATACTGTGAATAGAGGATCATAAGCTTCTTAACTTGTCAGGAGTTTTCCTTATTGGCTGAGAGTGGCTCCAGAATTGGAAGAGAGGACCAATAACATTTGTTTAGGGAACCCAGGTGAGCACATCTTAAAGTGGGTCTAGGCTTGTCTGAAGGAAGGGTAACATTTTCCTCTGGGGTCTAGAAGGAAGCAGACACTTTAGAAGGACCCAGAGAGAATTTAGATAGTCAAATTAGGCTCCAGGGAACCTTAGTCCATGCTATTCTCCCAAAACTGTTTTCTGAAGTTACTTGGATATCAGATCTTATTCATTCAATCCAAACAATAGCCCTTTGCCCCAGTCCTGATCCTCCTGGAGGTCTCTGCAACATTTCTTACTTTTGATCATCTCCCCCTCTTCTGGATATCGTCCTCTCTCAGATTTGGAGACACCATACTATCCTGGTTCTCCTCCTACCTCTCTACCTGCTCTTTCTTTGTATGACATGCCCTTTAGGAGAGGTCCTTCCCCCTCCCCACCAGGCTAGAAGGAATGAGCTGACTCTCAGCTAAGCTCTCTAAGACCTGGAGTTGTTGCTCAGCTTCTTAGCCAAGGCAACAAGATTGTAGAGCAATTACTCAGCCCAATTACTCAGCCCTTGGTTCACAGTCCTAAAGGTCAGCATGCTCTCAGTTGTCCTGCACTACCCCGGTCCCTGCCCCATCCCAGACATCTCCATCTCTCCCATACTTCCCATAGGATTGAGCAATCCCTCCACAGCCTCAACATCTTGGCTAGGAAAAGATGAGTGAAAACTCCAAGTCCCCAAGAGCATAGACAAGGGAGCATTCTCTACAGGGAGAAGAAAGATTTGATCCAGAGAGAATATTACATTCATCTCCATTGCTGACTCCTCATCCTCCTCCCCTGACCTCTTAAGGCATGTCCTTCATGATCATCCTCTCTTCTCTCTTCACCTATCCTCTGGTAATCTCATTCATTCCTACAGCCATAACTACCTATCTCCTATGCAGAGTATACCTATTGTCTTCACTTCTGACCTCTCTTCTGAGTTTGAGACCCACATCTCTAACTTTTTACAGTACATATCCACTTGCATGTCTGACCTCAAGATGAGCAAAACCCACCTTCTGCTTTTTTATCCTAAGCTTACCCTTTGTTCTGATTTCCCTGAAAATCATTGGTGCCACTATTCACATTCAAAAACCCAGGATTATTATTGCCTCTTTCTTAAACTTTTCTCAGCTCTGGCTTCCTCCTCTGTAGAAAGGGGTGAATAAGATTTGCTCTACCAGCTTCAGAGGGTTAGAATGAGAAAAGTGCTTTGGAGGAAGGGTCTATGTATACACTTCATAAAAATATTTATTTGCATTTGTTTGGGGTGTGCAGGGTACTTGCAACATCCCTGTGAGGAAGGTAGTATAAATAGCATTGTCTTCTTTGAAATTCAGAGCAGTTAGGCAACGTGCCCAGTGTCACATCACTAGTGGGCAGCTGAGTCAGAATTCATATCCACCTCTACTGACTCTAGGTCCAGCATGTCACACCTCAGCAGTCTCATGGCTGGAATGATCTCCCTCCTCATCTCAGTCTCCTGGCTTCTCTGGCTTCCTGCAAGTCCCATCTAAAATCCCACCCTCTACAGTAAGACTTTTCCCAATCCCTCTTAATTCTAGTGCCTTCCCTCTGTTGATTATTTCCAATTTGTCCTGTATATAACTTGTTTCTATATAGTTGTTTACTTGTCTCCCCCTATTAGATTGTGAGCTCCTTGAGGTCAGGAACTGCTGTTTGCTTTCCTTTGTATCTCTAGCACTGAGCTCAGTGACTGACACTTAGTAGGCACTTAATAAATGTTTTTGACTGACTGATCATTTAGATTTTAAGCTTTTTGAGAGAGAAAAAAATGACTGGTCATTCCCTTGAAGGAGTGGACAGATAGTATATGCTCAATAAAGATAGTTTGTTTAGAAATGTGTATGGTGTTGGAGTCATATTTCAAGTTATTTAAGAATAGAATGTTTGGGTGAGGTAATTCCTCAAAGTCTAGTTCAGAATGAGTCCCCTGTCACCAGAGGTCTTCAAATAGAGGTCAAATGACTATGTGTTGGAGATGTTGGAAATGGAAATGATACTTTGTATGACCTTTTAAGTTCTTTTCAACTCTGAGATTCTACGACATTATTAAAGGGATGGTTTATGAGCATTTAGAAAAGGAAGCAGTGATCACTAAAAACCAGAATGGCTTTATCAAGAACAGGTCATGGCAGGTTCCTATAACTAGGAATTTTTGCACCCAAGGTAAAATCCATGTAAATTGTCATCATGTAAAGCACTGCTGGGGGATGAAGATGGGGGTAGGGGATGGCTTTTTTAAAACTATCTCTATTAAACTTCACCTTCTTGATTCTTTGTTTTTGCTGTTCAGTCATTTTTCAGTTGCGTCTGACTCTTCATGACCCCATTTAGGGTTTTCTTGGCAAAGATATTGGAATGGTTTGTCATTTCCTTCTCCAGCACAGTTTGCAGATGAGGATATTGAGGCAAACAGGGTTAAATGACTAGGTTCACACAGCTAGTAAGTGTCTGAGGCCAGATTTGAATTCAGGAAGATGAGTCCACCTGACTCTAGGCTTGGCACTCTATGCATTGTGCCACCAAGTTTTAGCTTACTAAGATCTTTTTGGATTCACATCCAGCATACTAGCTATCCCTTGCAGCTTTGTGTCATCTGCAATTTGATAAACACACCATCTGTGCTTTCATCCAAGTTGTGGGTAAGAACGTTAAAGTGCACAGGCCAGGCACAATCTTTAGAGTACTTCACTAAAGACCTCTTTCCAAGTTGACCTCTCATCACTAATGACTACTCTTTGGGTCCAGACGTTTAATGAATTTTGAATCTATCTAATAAAGCACACTACTTTCTAGTCCATATCTCTACATCTTGTGCACAAGAATAAAAAAAGAAATTTTTTCATCTGCTTTATTAAAATCTATGCAGACTGTATCTACAGTATTCCCTTAATCTACTAGTCTAGTAATATTATAAAAAAAAGAAACAAAATTAGTCTGGAATAAGGGGAGGGGGTTGATTAAGGACTCCCCAGATTGACCCTCTCTTACCTTGCCATAACATGATGAAGGCATGACTCTTTGTGGTCACTGCTTCTTTGTCTAGCATTTAAAAATACATTCTAGAATTTTGCCAGGAATCAAAGAAAATGTCACTGGCTTAGAGTTTGCAGCCTCCTCTATCTTTCCTTCTGTACTGACTAAGGGATTAATGTAGATGATCTCTGGGCCCCCTTTCTAGTTCGGAGGTTCCATAAATTCCATCACTGCTACCCTAGCCACCCCGAGCCTAAAAATCTCTAACTTGAATCTCTGGTCATCAGAAGTAGGTAGTGAAAGGATCTGGAGGAGCATTAACCACATTGGGGAATAACTGATGAAAATAGAGTGGCCCAGTAGTTAGAACACTGGAGATCTAGGAGATCTGGGTTCAAATTCCAGCTCTGACACTTCTTTTGTTGGGCCCTGGCTTCCTCCTCTGGGAAGAAAGGGGGATGTGATAGCTGTCTCCAAGTATCTGATAAACTAGCCTCTGGAAGAAGGATTAGACTTATTCTTATTGGCCCCAGAGGCTAGAGGTAACAGAGAAGCAGATTTTGGCTCTGATAGAAAGAAAATTTTCCTAACAATCCCAGCTGTCCAAAAGTGAAAATGGGCTACCTTGGGAAGTAGTGGGTCTTGGGAGTCTTCCAGGAGAGTCTAGATGGTTGGGGATGTTGGTTAGGGGGAATTCCTTTTTAGGGATTATTTAGCCTCTTGAGGTTCATTCCAACTCCAAGGTTGTGACATTGTTACTGAATGGTCTTTAAGATCTCTCCCAGCTCTGACATTCCACATTCTAAGGATCTTCCCAGCTCTGACATTCTATACTCTATGTCCTAAGGTCTCTTCTAGCTTTAATATCCTGTTTCATGTTCTAACATTCTTACCATCTCTGCTATTCTGTATTCTAAGTATCTCCCCAACTCTGACATTCCACAAACTTATATTCTAGTTTCTTTTCTAGTTCTAGCATCCTGTATTCCATGTTCTAAATTTCTTCTGGTCCTAACATCCTGTATTCCATTTTCTAACAACCTTCGTAGTTCTAACATTGTATGTGCCATGTTCTAAGATCCCTCCAGTACTAACATTCCATATTCCATTTTCTAACAACTCTCCCAGTTCTAACATTTTATATTCTATGTTCTAAGATCCCTCCAGTCCTAACGTCCTGTATTCCATTTTCTAACAACCTTCCCAGTTCTAACATTGTATATGCCATGTTCTAAGATCTCTCCCAGTTCTAACATTTTATAATCCATGTTCTAATGTCTTTTCCAACTCTAACATTCTACATTCTAAGGATTTTCCCAGCTCTGACATGTCATACTCCATGTTCTAGGATCCCTTCCAGCTTTGATAACCTACAGTTCTGTCACACTGCATTAAAATAGGACCTGTTCCCTCCCATTGTCTGGGGATGGAGAAGGGATGTTTGGGGGCTTTGCTGGGCTAGGAAAGACCGCATCAAGGCTTTTGAACAAATACCAACTCTTCTCAGGGCCAGTCTCCATGATAATGCAACTTCTTTATTAATATATAATAATTATATAGATTTCATATATGCAAATATCTAAGGCTCTATTATAAGGTCTTGGTCTCTTTTTCTGGGCTGGCTGTCACCTTCAGCTCTGCGGCCTGGGCTCGGAAGACATTCCAATGACCTAGAAGGAAGAAATTGAATAAGTTTAATTTAATTGACATTGATTAACTACTTACTGTGGACAGAGCCCTGTGCTTGACCCTGAAGGAAAGACTGCTCATACAAGGAATGACCTCTGACTTTAAAGAAGCTCACAGTCTAGTAGGGAAGAATGGAAAAGAGTGGAGGGTTGGTGGGAGGGTGGGATAGAATTTGGGAGTTTGGAGTATCTTAAGATTCCTGGATTAAGATATTGCCTTCATGATTAAGGGTTCAAGCCCCATTTCTCCAAAGGCATAAGTGAGACTGGATTCCAGGATGGTGGGAAAAGGAATGGATTTGTTTTTAGATCTGGGTTGGAACTCTAGAACCTCCACCGACTGACTTTGCAAAAGTAATTTCCCCTGAAAGCAGAATAATGTAAAAAGAACACTGGATTTGATAGTCAGAACACCTGATTTCAAAGCCTGGCTCTTGTTATTTACTACATGTGTGACCTTGGGAAAGTCCCCGGATTTCTCTGGGCCACTGTTTTCTCCTGTGTAGAATACAGATCATCATTCTTTGCATCACATGACTCCCTCATAGGATGATTGCGAGGATCAGATGAGGAAATGTATGCTGGTTCTCCTGATATTTCGCCTCTACTTGTGACACCCCTGACTTGTCCCTCCAGCCTTGCACCAACTCAGGTATGTTTCTCTTTCACCAATGAAAGACTCCATGAATGGCTTCCATTGATATGATTTGGGAGCTTCCCTCTTACCCCATTCAAAGATTTCTGAAGATATTCCAGAAAGAGGGTGAGACGGCAGGTAAAAGCAGACCTTGGGGTCAGGAGACATGGATTTATGTCTTAATTGCCACTTATTAGTTGTATGCCTATATATCTACACCTATAGGTATGTATGTGTATTATTTATGTATATGTATGATTATATGTATATATACATATTTACGTATACATATTCATTTGGGGGGGAGGTCTGTCCTTATGTATAATTTTATTGATGCAAGAATCCCATGGTGTAGAAACTCCTCCACTGATGTAAATTGACAATTCATCTGTAACTTATAGTCTTAAGAGATGCCTGGGTTACTGAGAATGACTTGCTCAGGGTCACACAGTCAGGATACGTCAGAGGCAGGTAAGACTTGAACCCAGGCTTTTCTGACTCCAAGACTGGCCCTCACTTCCTCTCTGTCTTGCTGCCTCTCACACTAGCTACATAATCTTAGGCAAATCAGTTTTACTACTCTGAGCCTCAGTTTCCCCATATGTTAAATGAGAATAATAGTACCTGCCTCTGCCCTCACAGGGCTGCTTTGGAGTAAGCATTTGTAAACCTTACAGGGCTATTTAAATTGGAGTTATTATCATTACTTATGCTCTATTTCCTGTACTGGCCATCTCCTTCCCCTACACCTTGGCATGACTCCTCAGCTTCATCAATTCCACCTTCCTATTCTAGGCAGCTAGGTGGTACAGTTGATAGAGTGTTGGGCCTGGAGTCAGGAAGACCTGAGTTCAAATCTAGCCTCAGACAGTTTTTATCTGTGTGACCCTGGGCAAGTCATTTAACCTCTATTTGCCTCAGTTTTCTAATCTGTAAAATGGGCATTAAAAATCACACCTACTTTCCAAGGTTGTTGTGAAGATCAAATGACAAAGAATTTGTAAAGTGTTTTATAAACATTAAAGTGCTATATAAACGCTAGCTATTATTAGACATCTCCTCATTTCCCACCAGGCTATACTCATTTTAGAGTTCTTTGACTTTACCATCCTCCTGTGCTGAGTATCTCCCCCCACCAGTTTTTCAGTTTTCCTTTGTGTGTTTTCTTTCCCCCACTAGATTGTAAGCTCCTCGAGGGAAGGGAACTGTCTTTTTCATATTTGTATCTTCAGTCCTTAGCACGGTACCTGGCACATAGTAGGTGCTTAATAAATGTTTATAGGCTATTGACTAATAGTCAACTAGTATTTGTTGACTGACTGACTGGTAGTTTTCTTATAGGATTTGCAGTTGGTAAAGACCTTAGAAGCTATCTAGTCTAATTCCCTCATTTTACAGAAGAGGGAACTGAGACCCAAAGAAAGGAAATGAGTTGCCCAAGGTCATACAAAAGAGTATCAGAGCTTGGTTTACAACCTGTTCTTTTGATTTAAAATCTATTGCTTTTTCCTCTACCATCCGGGCCTCCTCTGTACCCCTGGCTATCCCCCAGGGTTAAAACCTTCCTGTCACAGAAAAATGTGGACTGCCCACTCTCTTATTGAGAAATCCCTGGCTGGGGCCTTCTACTGGATCTCTGCTGGGAACTGACGTCAGGACCAGTGGACAGCCCATCCCCCCAGCCTCTTTACCAGCACCCTGGGACCACTCCAAAGGGAAGGCCTGGTCTCCCCCTCCTAGTCCTGCTTATTCTCTCAGGCTCACTTCCCACCACCTGGAGAGCTCTTCTCTCTTTCTTGGCCAAGAGCATTCCAGAGCTCAGCTTCCTCCAAGAAGACTCCTTTGATTTATCCCACCTGCCTGAGATCTTTTCCTTTGGTTCTCTAAATTCACTTTGCATTTTGTGATCATGAATGTGCTGGTGCTGGGGCAGCTAGATGGTGCAGTGAATAGAGTGCCAGGCCTGGAGTCAGGAAGACTTATCTTCCTGAGTTCAAATTCAGCCTCAGACACTTACTATCTGGGTGACCCTGGGCAAGTCACTTAACACTGTTTGCCTCAGTTTCTTCATCTGCAAAATGAGCTGGAGAAGGAAATGGCAAACCACTCAAGTTATCTTTGCCAAGAAAACCCCAAATGGGGTCATGAAGAGTCAGACATGACTGAAACAACTGAACAACCAACAAAAATGTGCTGGCACATTAGGAGTAGGAAATGAAGATTCCAAAGCTTCCCCCTAGCACCTGGGGCTAGGACCTGTGGTTCCCTGAGGGCAGGTGCTATATCTCCTCTCTTAGACTGGGAGTTCTCTGAAGTTATCTCCCTTTTCAGACCAAGGGCTCCCTAATGGTAGAAGCCACATCCGCCCCCTCCTCCAACCAAGGATTCTCTAGGGCCTACTTGAGTGTAGGCGCTATGAGTGCCCCTCAGAATGGGGAGGTCCTAAGATCAGGCATTTGCTCACCTTCGTTTGTCCGAGTGATGAGCCGGAAGTTTTGTGCCTCTTCTTTGAATTCTTGCTTCCGAACTTTCTTGATCTGAATCAGATGAAAAATTCCTGGGGACAGAGATGCTAGTATGAGCAACTGTTCCTGGGGGAGACTTCCCAAGTCATTCAACCCACCAACAAGGATTAAAGACCTGTTGCGTGCCCAGTCTCCTGTTTCCAGTCACCTAGCCATCCATTCAACAAAGATTATTAAGTACCTACTGTGTGCAGAGCACTGAACAAAGTCCTGAGAAATATACACAGTTTAGATAAGATGCCCTCATGAAGGGATGACACATAAAATGATTAATATTCATTAGATGATAAGTGCATTAGAGTTTTAAGAAGCACAGGGATTTTAAAAGCATTGCACAATTTCCTAAAGGCAATTTAGCCTGCCTTCTTTCTCCTCTTCAATTCTGGGCCCAGTTCATTGTCCTTCTGAAGTTTGTCCAAGGTATTTGTGCTCATGGACCAGCTCTATGGGTTATCCATCTATCTGTACAGGATCATAAGCATTTTTCATCCACTTACTTTGTCCTTTGTCAATTAGGCCAAACTCAGGCTAACCACAAGCTCCTCCCTAAAACAAAGGTTCATCTTTTTTTTTTTTAAATCAATAGTATTTCCATGAAGCTATAAGGCTAAAACTCATGGAAAACCTCAACCTGAGGAATTAAAATGGGCAATGAAGAAAAGCGCAGTGTGTGTGTAGTTGACAAAATATTGCACAAGAGGCACAAATACCTAAATATTCAGCTAAATATTCAGCAGCCATCTCTCTGAAAAAAATGTATGCATGTATATGTATATTACATATGTATATATGTACGTAAACAGTTTATTATAAATTTTACTGATGTAAAGGACTTAAAGTACACAATTCACCAATAATAATAAAAATACATTTTTTTGGTAAATTCCCATTGATCCTCACAAATGCTTTTGTTGATTTCTGCCAAACTCTTGTTTCTATAGTCCACTTATGATCCTAACCCGCTAACTCTTTTCCCAAAAGTTTGTCGTTAAATCTGATCTGTGACCTAACGTTAAACTATTTCTCATCCTTGTATAAATTATATTCATTAAACTAGAACCTCTAAGCATCCATACTACTGATTACAATAGTGCTATTTTTTTTAGCTTTTTTGAATACTTTGCAGGGCTTAGAATATTGTTTGATTTTACACTATCTACAAATTGTTCAAATCAATTTCATGTTTTAAAATTTCACTTAAATGATTTTTTTTCCACCAGCTATCCATGGTGAAGTTAATTCTTCATGAGGTCAAGTAGATGGTTCTAATAAATCAAAATAATTAAAAATTCTTTCATTATCATTTCTGTCTGATAAAAGACATAAGTGCATATGTTGAATATGATTTTCTAGTAACATACTCCCATGCAAAGCATTACATTTACTATTTTTATTAAATGGAATGTTTTTAAACGTATCTGACTGAATCAAATCTTCAACTTGAGATTCATGCTTCCTAGTACCAATCTTTAAATTTTCCAAAGCTCTCATAGTGTGTTTAATTTTTGTGCCTTCTGAATGTTAGCTGATCTTGACTGCAATGCAGTTGGAATTGATGAAAATTCTTCAAGAATGTCAATCATCAAAGTAAGGTCTTGCAAGAAATTAACATTAACTAATTGCAGCAGCAGCAGAAAAAGAATGAGGAGAAGAAGAAAAAGAAAGAAGAGGAGGAGGAGGAGAAGGAGAGGAAGGAGAGGAAGGAGACGGAGAAGAAGGAGGAGAAGAAGCAGAAGAAGCAGAAGCAGAAGCAGAAGCAGAAGAAGCAGAAGCAGAAGAAGCAGAAGAAGCAGAAGCAGAAGAAGCAGAAGAAGCAGAAGAAGAAGAAGAAGAAGAAGAAGAAGAAGAAGAAGAAGAAGAAGAAGAAGAAGAAGAAGAAGAAGAAGAAGAAGAAGAAGAAGAAGAAGAAGAAGAAGAAGAAAACATATGTGATGTGGGTTAGGTGACCTTTACAGCAGCAGCAGCAAGTAAAATATGGGAGACCCATCTTAGTCCCAGTACTTGACCAATTTAATAATTTCATTTTCTAGTTCCTTAGCTATATTTCTAGCTTATTGGATTAGTGATAAATAGAATAAATATAAGCCAGAAATATTTAAGATGATTCATTTATCTCAGATATTGAATCATCAAATGATTATTTAAACAGCACTATGATGATTTTAGGATGATTTTCTAACAATTTTGCAATTGTTCCAGACTTTCTTCCAAAGCATTGTCTTAGCATCATCAGAACAAAATGCAATTAAGTTCACTTTCAAATATTTGTTATTAAACCACAACCACTTAAAGTAGACAAAAATGTATTGAAAATACACTTTGCTATGCTGACATCAATTCTTTTAAAGTAACAAATGACATTACTGGTGCAGGAACTGATCGAATTGTGCATTGACTGTGTTTAAGAACTGGCTCACAAAATTCCTGAAAATTTAATAATGAGTTTTGCAAGCTGGTATAAGCTGACTCTAGTCTAACACTGAACATAAAGGATGCCATTAGAAAGAATGTGGGACTGGAAAAGAAGGTGGGCCAGTTATGGATTGAGAGAGAGGGATCACCAGTGGGAAGTCCATTGGCATCCATTCAGTGTCAAGAGAGCTAAAGATGCTCCAAGTTATACTGGAATAAGCTCATACTGGGCACCTAGGTGGTCAGACCTGTAGTCAGGAGGACTCAAGTTCAAATCTGACCCCAGACACTTATTAGATGTGTGACCCTGGGCAAGTCACTTAACACCGTTTGCCTCAATTTCCTTATCTGTAAAATGAGCTGGTGAAGGAAATGACAAACCACTCCAGTATCTTTGCCAAGGAAACCCTAAATGGGGTCATGAAGAGTTGGACAGGACTGCAAAACAACTGAACAACAATGAAAAGCTCATATCAGCTTGCCTGAAGGGCTTTAAATGCCAAACAGAAGCGTTTATATTTGATTCCAAAAGTCATAGAGAACCATTAGAGTTGGCCAAGGTGGGGGAATGATATGTGCTTTAGGAAAATCACTTTGGAAATTGTGTGGAAGATGGGAGAGACTTGAGTCAGGAGATCAATTAGGACAGCCCCTTCAAGTTATAGATCAGGAAACTGAGACTCAGAGAGGGGCAATGACTTGTCTAAGGTAACACAGGCTGTAAGTGGCTAAGGCAATATTTGAACTCATTTTAACTCTTCTCAACACTTACTATCCCTGTTGTTTTCAATGGATCCTTATATATCATGGTGGTGAATCCTTCACCATCCTGATTACTTTCCTCTGGATATATTTCTATCTGTCAATGTCCATCTCCATAGTATTCAGAAATAGACATGATACCCCAGCTAAGGTCTTACCAGTGGACTGGGGGACCTGCCTTGTTTGAGACAGATATCCTACTATACAAGTCAGCCTCATTCCTGATTTTTTCATTATTGAACACACAGCTGACCTTTAGTAGTAAATGGTTGTTGAGTAAATGGATGAACCTTGGGGTTACCTGCCTCCCTCCTCCCCCATCCCCAGCACAGACTGAAGGAGCCAGTGCCAAGAAGGGCTTGGGTCCTACCCCAGACCCACAGCCTTTATATATCTCCTATGAGCCATCTCACAACACCTAGAAATAATAATAATAATGATAATGATGATGATGATGATGATGATAATAATAATAATAATAATAATGATAGCTCCTTTTCCTGCAGCTCTTTAAGATTTACAAAGCACTTTCCTCATAATGGCCTGATGAAGAAATGAAGGCAAAGATTATTTTCTCCATTTTACAAACGAGAAAATTAGGGGAAGTGACTGCCAGGATGAAGTCCCCAAATGTGAACCAGCTCCATCTTCACCTTACCCACCTCTTACTCTGTCATCTTCTCTTCCTTTGAACTCATCACCTCTTCCTTTGGACTCATTACCTCTTCGTACTGGTACAAAGCTCTTTGTACACCACCTCTTCATTTCCCCTTTCTTCTTACTCATCTTTCCTCTCTTTCTACTCATCATCCCTTCCTTGATATAGCCAGCATCATCACTGCCCTCTTCCAAGGCTCAGTTCTTGTAACACTGGTTTTGAAACTCTCTGCTTAGTATTCAGCATCCTGTAAGCCAAATATGCAGCCTACAGGCATGTGGTTCTTATCTCAGAATCTGGGGCCTGGGCCAGGCGTTAGCCAGGAGGTAGGTGGGACTTCAGTTAGATTAAGGGATATTCACAACCTTGGGCCTAGATTCATGAACATTACAAGGGACAGATGTAGGGGAAGAGAAGATTTAGAGAGGCAGCTGGGGTGGAGGAGTGAGCCCTGACTTCAGCGGGGGAGTCCTGGGTTCTAGTCTTATCTCTGCCATTTTTTAGCTGTGAGACACTGGGCTAGTTACATCAGGAGTATGTAGCTTTCTCATCTGAGGCTTAGTTTTTTCATCTCCAAAATGGGGATAATAGTGTTTATACTACCTACCTTACAGAGTCATGGTTAGGATCAAAGTAGATAATGGACATAAACCACTTTGTAAATCTTAAAGTCTCTATAGAAATGCTGCATTAGCTTCTCTCTGCCTCCTTTTTGTGTTTTCCCCCCTTTTAGCTAAAGGAGCCCTGTGGCTTAGGCTATGTTTCTAGTCCAGGGGTGGGCTACAGGTTCCTCACCCCTGTATCTAGTCCCTCATAGAATCACTGCCCCATAGACTCTCAAAAGGTATATATCCCACACAGAGTAGAATTCTACTCTATGTTCTTCTGGACAGGCGAATCATCTAGTATATGTTTGGATACTTCCAGTGACCGTGAACTCATTCCTTCTTGTGGTAGTCCATTCAGTTGTAAGATGGCTCTGATGGTTAAAAAATTCTTCCTTTTCTCCAGACTAAAATTACCTCCCTGAGACTTCCCCTGCACACACCCCAACCCCATCCTCCACAGCTAATTTTTTTTTTTTAGGCAATTGGGGTTAAGTGACTTGCCCAGGGTCACACAGCTAGCGAGTGTCAAGTGTTAGGTCTGAGGTTGGATTTGAACTCCTGACTTCAGGAGCGGTGCTCTATCCACTGAGCCACCTAGCTGCCCCCACAGCTGATTTTGATTCCGCCTCCTAGGGCCACACAGGAGGAAAGGGGATCTAACCACTGCAGTCATACCAACATAAAAGTGACATCTCTAGGATTCCCTCCTTCCCACTCCCTATGTATGCACTTACCTGACTCCATCTTCCCAAATTGTCTCCTAAAAGTACTGTTCCACACACGTGATCCTCCTACTTCCAGGGACTCCTGAATCCTTCTAACTTATGATAACCCTTCAGATATTTGAAAACAAATATTCTATCCTCCATTCCTTGCTAAGATTTCTCTTCTTCCAGGTTCCTTAAACCATCCTTTAAGACAAAGTTTTGCATCTTTTCCGGGTTTGCATTTTCTATGAGATGCAGTATGAGCTCCTTAGCCTGACATTCCAGGCCCTTAAGATTCTTACCTCCAGTCTCCCCTTTTCACCATATTTTCTACAGCTTGCCCATACAAACCTTGTAGCCAATCAGGCCAGCCTCAGTGTGTTCTGAACAAACCAAACTCTTGCCTACATTTCCTCACATCTTTTCTCCCACTTAGAACATCCTCCCCCTTCTTCTCCACCTCTTCGAGACAACCACATAATCCCGGAGTTGGAGGCCCCTCGGCGGGCATCTAGTCCAATAGGAATCCCCTCTTGCACGTGCCCTACAGGCGGCCACCCTCTTCTCCTGGGTGCCCTCTCCTCCCTGGGCTCCCATGACACTGCTCACTCTTGGTTCCCATCCTGCCTGGCTGACCTGTCCTCAGGCTCCTCAGCTAGACCTCCATCCATGCCATACCCCCTAACTATGGTTGCGTCCCAGGGCTCTGAACGGGACCTTTTCTTTTCTGTCTACACTATTTCCCTCAGTGATATCATCTCCTAGGGGTTCAATGACCACCTCTCTGCAAAAGACCCCCAGATCATGTATCCAAAACTCGGTGTCCCGTTGGCATCTCAAACTTAACACATCCAAAACAGACACACCATTGTTTCCTTCAAACCCCCTTGACTTCTGAGCTTCCTTGTCACTGTTGAGGGTACCATCGTCCCTGCAGTCACTCAGGTTTGCAACCTCCGTGTCATTGCTGCCTCCTCACTCTCTCACACTACCTCACATCATATCTGATCTGTCGTCACATGCAGAGTCCACCTTCACAACGGCTCTTCTTTCAGTCCCCTTCTCTCCAACCGCCACCCTAATTCATCACCCCTCGCAGAAGTCTCTCATCGGTCTCCCTCCCTCAGCTCTCTTCCCACTCCAGTCTGTTCTCCAGACAACTGCCAAAGTGACTTTCCCTAAAGTAGGTCTGTCCATGTCACCCCCTCCTCAATAAACTCCAGTGACTTCCTATCAACCCCAGGATTAAATATAAAATCCTTGGGCATTTAAAGCTCTTTACAGCCTGGTCCTATCCTACCATTCCAATCTACACACTTTACAATCCAGCCATGTTGGTCTACATACTGTTCCTCACTCACAGCGCTCTATCTCTGGTCTCCGTGACTTTGTACTGACTGTCCTACATGCCTGGAATGCTCTCACTCCTTGTCTTCCTCTTTCAGCTTCCTTGACTACCTTTAACACTCAACTCAAATGCCATCCTTTTGCAGGGGGCCTTTCCTGTTCCCACCAGCTGCCAGAGACTTCCCTTCTAGAGTTACCTTTGATCTATTCTGTATGTATCTTATATCTTCTTTTCTCCTTGATTATAATGGAATATAAGCTCCTCAAAGGCAGGAGTTGGTTTTGCTTTTTTTTTTTTTTTTTTTTTTTTTTGTCTCCCCAGTGCTTAGCTCAATGCTTGGTACGTGGAAGTACTTAACAAATGCTTATTGATTGATTGATTGATTTTCCAGCCCCTACTCTACCTCCATTTCCCTAGGGGAACTCAATACTCCCTAGAGCTTATTCCACCTTTGTACATCCCTAATTGTTGGGAATCTTTGTCAGAGTTAAGTTGAAATTTACCTCTATGCAGTTCCTACATCTTCATCCTCTGCACATTTGTTCCTGGTTCTGCCTTCTGAGGTCAAGCTGAGCAAGTAAATCTATATCAATCCTGCATGTCGTTCAAAGCCCAACTCAAACCTCCTCTCCTCCATGAATCCTTCCTTGACTACCTGGATTGGCACCAGTGTCTTCTAAGCCCCTATGGTGTCTACTTTCTGTAGCCATCATTTGTCTCTGGGCATTTATATTTACATGGATTTCCCTCTAGTGCCTTGTATCATATGGTTGCTGAACAAACGTTTGCTAATGTTCTTACCTTCCTAATAATTCACTAACTCAGTGAATGATTTGTTAAAGTCTTTGAGAACAGAATTTGTGTCTTACTTTATATTCCTATTCTCACTGAGATAAGGAGAGAGGCAGTAAGGGAGCACTTAATTGCTCACAAGGAATTAAATTCACTTGTCCCAGACAAATTATATCCCAGGATACTTAAAGAAATCGGCAGGTGCAATTGCTGAGTGACTGCTAGTGATCTTTGAAAGATCTCAGAGAATAGGAGCAATGCCTGCCAGAGAGAAAATGGATTTAAAAGGCAAAATGAGGGGTACATTTTTGGACTTGGCCAATGTGGGTTTGGCTGGACTATGCACATTTGTCATTAGGAATTTTTTTTTTTACTGTTTAATTGGGGAGGGGCAGTGAGAGGGAGAAATATAAAATGCAAAAAATAAAATAAAATTTGCTACCAAAAAAAAGAGAAAATGGGAGAGATGCTATAAGACTGAAGATAGTTAAATGTCTCAAACTTCAAAAATAGAAACACTGGGATCTGCAAACTATAGGCTTGTGGGTTGGACTTCACTCAATTTCTTGAGAAATTCTAGAATGCATTTTTAAAGAGATCATTTGTAAGCATTTAGAAAGGGAAACAGTGATAACGAAGAGCCAACATGACGTCATCATGGCAGGTCATGGCAGACTAACTTCACTTCTGTTTTTGACAGGATATCCAGACTGGTAGGGCAAGGAAATGTTATAGGATTTCATCAAACAAAATCCGTCCTACTCTCCTTGTGGACAAAGTGGAGAAATGTGGACTAACTGGTAGTGCAGCTACATGGATTCAGAATTAGTTGAATGGATGGACCTCAAAAGTAGTCATGAATAGCTCATTGTCAGCTTAGAGAGAGGATCCAATGCTTGACATTTTTATTGATGACTTAGATAAATGGCATAACTGTTACACTTCTCCTATTTACAGATGATACAAAGCCATAGTGAAGGTCCAAAGGATTTGGATGGTCTAGACTGAAGCTGTGGTAAAATATAACGGGAATAAATGTAAAGCCACAAAACAAAAGGCTTAAAGAGTTGGAAGGGACCTTGGGGGTCTATTCTAAATAATAGCTGAATAGCAATCCTCCATACAGCATCCTTGAAAAGGATGTTGGAGGAATGATTATAAAGTAAAATTCACAAGGCAGAGTCACTGATGTTATTGAGATCATAATAATCATTACAGATAAATATTTCAAGTACACTGATAGCATTACGCCACTGGATCCATGGAGGAGAGAAATCTCTTAGTGAGGCAGTGGAACATTGTCTCTTCAAATTCTTTAAGTCTCTGATTCTAAAATTCTATGGTTCCACTATCCTATGAATCTGTGATTCTAAGGTTCCATTATTTCATGAGAGCAGGACTGGGACCACTCCAGGCCAAGCTGACTAATGGTTGCTCACCTTTTACCAGCTTCCATATGTAAATCTCCACGTAGTCAGAGGCTTCCTGTTCCAGGGCAATTCTACGCAGGCTTTCAGGACTTGGAGAGACAAGAGTATGGACAAGTACCTGACTGGGCCCTGCTGGGCATCTGGTGGTACTGACCTCATCACTGGGGTTGGTCCTGTCCTCTGGAAGAGACAAAGGATTCATTAATTCTCCTGTTCTCTACCATGCTTCACTTTTAGGGATGGCCCTAGGCATGATGGGAAGAGGTGACTTCCTTGGAGGTGTGATGACAAGGGGCCACTCCAAAGCCCAGAAATATTCCCTGGGACTGGCCAGGCACTTTTCCTTGGTTTAAAATTGCCCCTTCCCTCTCCATATCATAATTTTTCCTTAAATTTTAGGCAAGAAAATCTAAGATGTAAATAATTACACTTGCTCTAAATAATGATAATGATTAATCATCACTTATGATAATTTATAAGAAATAATGTAAAATACATGAGAAATAATGATACTTGCACTAAGGCCCTCCCCAATGCCTCACTATGACATGGAGGTGGCCCTGGGATCTCCAAGGCAATGCCAATGGAGTATAAACTCTAGCAGGTTGTACCAAGCTGAAAAGGTCCAAGGCCAAAAAGATCCAAAAAGTTGTTGACAGATTAGGACAGTGGTGATAAACTCAAATAAAAATGGATTTCTGCAGGTGCATATTGACTTAGAAAACTACCAATTAACATTATCTATGCTTTATTGTATTTTATTTATTTTATTAAGTATTTCCCAATTACATTTTAATCTGGTTTGGGCCACACAACCTCATGGGGCCCATGGGCTACATGTTTGATATCTCTGGGCTAGAGCATTGGAATGAATCCAATAATGAAGTTAAATAGGGATATTGTAAACTCAGACTTGGGTTCAAAAAAATTGACTTCACAAATACCAGTTGGGCTGGCATGACTACATAGCTTGTCTGAAAAAGATCTGGGGGTTTTAGTGTGCTCCATAGGAGTCAACAACATAAAATGTGACAGTCAGACAAGCTAACGTGATTAAAGGCTATATTGAGAGGTGTGGCATCCAGGAGTGATTCTCTATACTCAGCCCTGGTCAAACCACACCTGGAGTATTGTGTTAAGTTCTGGCCATCAAATTTGAGGAAGGATATTGATATGCTACAAAACATCAGGGGAACAGAAACTAGGGAAAGACTGAGTTTATGTCATATGAAGAATGGTTGAAAGAACTGAAGATATTTAGCCTAGAAAAGAGAAGACTTAGGAGAAAGAAGAGCCATAATTGTGGTGTTTAGCTATTTTGTCAGTTGGGTCCAAACATGGAGTATTTGTGTAAGATTCTCCTTATTGGTGGAGAAAATTATGACTTGACCTTACCAGCTGGAATGAGGACCAAGAGCCTTTGAAGAGAAGGAAGATTCTTTTCACTTTGTTTTCCAAGATAATTGTCTAGGTAGGCAAGCTGGAAAGATGTTGAGAATTGAGCTTTCCCCTACCTATCTTCCTTCCAAAGTCTATTTCCTTTTTCTCCTCAGAGAAAATCTAGAACCTCATATGTTCTCTTTTGGAGCACAAATTTAGAAGAATGTTTCTCCTCTCCAAAGGATTGCCAAGGAAACCAATTATATTAAAATACTTGAATATTAAATATTAAAATATTTTTTGAAAAAAACCAAGTTCATGGACCCCAGGTTAAGAACCTCTGTAGGAGTCTGAATCACTCCTGAGCTATAATTCTTTCTATAATACATCCTTCAGAAAAGGAAGAAGACTAACAGCTGAGACATCCAGGTGGGCAAAAATCTGAGAAAACACTCAATGGTAAAATCCACATTCTCTGTTGGTCATATACAAATGCACAAAATTTAGGCAAAAAGAAAGAAAAACCAGATGTCATAAGACAAGACAAACAGGTACCACTGAGACTTGGTGGGATGAAACATGTAACTGGAATAAGTCTCCAGATGAGTGTATCTTGCCCAAAATAAACAGGATAGGTGTGAAGTGAGATATTAAGAAGGTGGAATTGTGAGGAAATGAACTAGAGGAGGGTAGCATGGTGGAGAACATTTACATGATGATCAAAATGAGAAGAAACAAAAATGATTCTATCAATGGAGTATACTACAGACCACCTGCACAGAAGAGGAAATAGATAAGAAATTTGGGAAACAGGTCCCACAAAATGCTAGTTACCCAAAAGACCATCACAAATGATAAATAATGAGCAAATCCATTTTTCCAAGCAGAGAGCAAATAGAAAGTAGAGCAATTAGTCAGACCAGAATATACCAGACAATTTATTTACAGTGAATGATTTTTCCCACTAGGTGATCTCACCTGGCACCAATATATGATATTATAGTGTTAGGGGACTTCAATTATCCAGATATCTGCTGGAGTTCTCTCTAAGAGCAGAGCAACTAATAACTTTATGATCTGTCTTAGTGATAATTTTATCTTTCAAAAGGTGGGGGAGCTGACAAAGTAGAATTTTATTCTGGATCTGATTCTTACTAAGAGGAACTGGATACTAAGGTGAAGATGATAGGAACCGTAAGGGGGAGAAGTGATCACCTCATCTTAGAATTTGTGATAGAGGAAGAAAATGAAGCTGAATGTGGTCTAATAAGCACCTTAGATTTAGGGAGAGCAGATTTCAAAGAATTCAGATGAAGAATAAGTAAAGTGGGATGCCATGGATTTTCTGAAAAGAGGAAGTCAGCTGAGGAGGGCAGAAATTCTGATGACACAAAAGGAAATGAAAAATGGAAGTTGTCAGAAGAAACCAATGTGGATGCACAGAGAACATACCATCCAACTTAATTTTAAAAGAATACATGCAGAAGATGGAAGCCAGGGGTAGGTAACCGTAGGATCATAAATTTAGAGTTGGAAGGGACTCCATTATTTTGTGTTGTTCTTGTGGAAAAGTACCTAGCACATTGTAGGCACTTAATAAATCCTTGTTGATTGATTTATTGGAGTAAAAAAAAAGAAAGATGTGGGCTAAATGACAATACAGATTTGGTGGATTTGTAATGGGATCAAGGGTCAGCCTCAAAAAGTAGCTGTTTATGACAAATTGATAAGAAGTCTTCAGTGGAGTGCCCCAGGGACAGAGCTGGACTTAGATAAAGGCATAGGTAGCATGCTCATAGAATGTGCAGATGACACAAAGCTGAGATGTTAGCTAACACACTGGATGACAAGAGTCAGGATCCAAAAAGATCTTGAAAGATCAGAAGATTGGGCAGAATCAAAAGTCTTACATTTGGGTGAAAAAACGACTTCACAAATAAAGATGGGGGAGGCATGGGTAGAAATCAGTTTGTCCAGAAAAAGATCTGGAAGGTTAGTGGGCTGCAGGCTCAATATAAATCAACCATGTGATGTGGCAACCAAAAAAATCAATGTAATCCTGGGCTTGGTTAAAAGAAGCCTGGCTTTTAGGAATAAGGAGTTGATAGTCTCTCTGTATTCTGCACCTGGAGTATTGGGTTTAGTTCTGTGTGACACAGTTTACCAAGAATATTGATAAGCTGAAGAGTGTCCCAAGAAGGGCGACCATGATTGTTAAGGGCCTTGAGTCCATGCTAGGCAGGTATCAGAAGAGGAGGCTTGGAAGGGACATGACAGCTGGTCCAAGGATGTCACCTGGATGAGATTTGTTCTTTTTGGCCTCAGAAGGGAGAACCAGGAGCAGTGCATGGAAGTTGTAGAGAGTCAGAATTGGGTTTGATATCAGGAAAAACTTCCAAACAATTAGAAGTATCTAAAAGTGAAATGGGATTGCAGTGGGTTGCTTTTGACTGGAGGTCTTTGGGTAGTGGCTGAATGGAATGACCACTTGTGTTGTAGTGGAGATTTGGTTTTGGCTAGGGACTAGTGAGGTGGTCATGGAGGCCCTTTGCATCTCAGAAATTCTGTGATTCTGTGAAAATTGGAAGTTCATATACAGATTTTGTTCCAAATGAGAAATCCCCAACAAATGATTATTCAGCCTCCGTTTAAACAATTCCAGGAAGAAGGAGCTCACTTCTTTTGGTCAGCTCTGACTGCGAGGAAATTTTTTCTTATATTGAGTCAAAATCTATCTCCTCTAAGTACAGGGTTGAAGAGTGTCATGGAAAAGATGCTGGCCTGTCTCTTCAGATGCACTTGGATCAATTTTCTTCTCTAATTTTCAATTTCTCTTTCTGTATAATAGGGATAATATTTATTTTTGTTTGGTTTTTGAAGGCAATCGGGGTTAAATGACTTGTTCAGGGTCACACAACTAGTAAGTGTCTGAAGCTAGATTTGAACTCAGGTCCTCCTGATTCCAGGGCTGGTGCCCACTGCACCACCTAGCTGTGCCAGGGATGATCTTTAAAGTCCCTTCTTGCCCTCGCATTTTATGTTTGGGTCTAAGCCAATGAATGCCATCTATCTCATTTTGGGAGCCTTTCTTGTCATGCCCCCACCTCCCCTTGGGACCACATACTACCAGGTAGTTCCTTCTTATATCTGATCTGCTAAAATTCCCAATCCATGTTCTTTTGCCCTGTCCTTGGTGGCAATGGAATATACCCAATCCCCCTCTTGTCCAGAACAAAGCAGTGGGAGTATCAGAGTAAGATGCCTGTAAGAGTCAGGAGACTTGGGTTGGGCTCCTTGTGATGTCACTAACTAGGGGTGTGACCTCGGATAAATCACTTCCCCCTCATTGGAGGATAACCTTGAATGCTCCTCCTAGCTCTGAGATTCTAATTGATCTAAGATTCTATTCTTCTAAGAGTTCCTGATTATATTGTTCTAAGGCTCCTTGATTTTAGGATTCTGTCCTTCCTTCCGTACACACACATACACATATACACAAACATATACCTATACATATTTATATATGTATGTATGTATGCATGGGGGCCTTTGCCTTTCTTGGTATCCCCAGGGCTTACCCCAGTGCCTCGAATACAGTAGGTGCTTAATGAATGCTTGTTGACTTGAGTTCCAAGATTCAGAGGATCTATGGTCTTAAGATTCTGAGTCTATGGTTCTAGCAGTCTACAACATTTTAATAGCATGGCAAAGGTTTGCAAAAGATTTATTACTTCCTTTGATCACATGATATTTATCATCTTATTTGGTCTTCACAAGAGCCCCAGGAGAGCAGCAGGTAGATGGTGGAGTAGATAGAGCAGTGGCCCTGGAGAGGGGAGGATCTGAGTTCAAATGCGGCCTCAACACTTACTAGCTGTGTGACCCTGGGCAAGTCACTTAACCCCAATTGCCTCCCCAAAATAACCCCAGCTCTGTGAGGTAGGTACTACAGGTAAGGAGGAAACTACAGCTCAGAGAGGGGGGACATACTTGCCCATGGTCACATAGCTCAGTAAGTGCCAGAGGCAAGTTTTGAACCTAGCTCTCATCTGACTCCAGGTAGGTCTAGGGCTCTTTTCTAGTGTCTGTGGCCTTTACGGTTCTGAGACTCTGAAAGTCTTAGCTGGTGTCCCGCTGGTGCCCGTGTGTCCTGCCCCTCCCGCCTCCTCACCCACACAGTACCTGGGCAGATCTTACAGCATTTCCCTTCTACCTTCTCTGGGTAGAGGCAGCCATAGTCCCTGGGGCAGGTCACCCGCTGGCAGTCCTGACGGCCATCTTGACAGGTGCAAAGGATGCAGGGCAGGGGCCCAAAGGAACGGAAGGCTGGGTGCCACACCTCCCCATGGGAATACGTCTTCCCATTGTACGTGCAGGCTGGAGGGGAGAGAGGCCTGAAGTCAGAGCTGGGCTCCTCAGGGGTGGCAAGAAAGAGCAAAGGAAGCCTGTTCCTGTCCCTGGGGAAGTCCTCAGTCTGAATGGGGACATACATCTTCAAATCAGGGGTTCCTCATTTCTTTTTGTGTCATGGTCCCCTTTATCAGTCTACTAGAACTTATAGATGGCTTCTCAGAATCATGTTTTTAAATGCATAAAATAAAACAAAGAAAAGTATTATATTGAAATAGTTATCAAAATATATGTTTTTAAATATAAATTCGGAGACCCCAGGTTAAGAACCCTTCTTCTAGGTCTGAGTGTCTTTGGCTCACTCCATGGCTTTTTTTGTGGCAGGTCACTCAATTTCTAATGAAGTCTAATGCAGATTTGGACTCAGGAAAAGTAAAAGCTTCCTAAAATCAAAATTGTACCACAATGGAACAAACTGCCTTGGGAGAGAGTGAGTTTCCCTCACTGGTGATATCCAGGCAGAGAGACTGGCTCTGGAGGGCATTCTGGCACTGGGAGGGAGGTTATGGCCTCTGAAGTGTCTCCCAGCTCTGAAGGTCTGTGATTCTGGGTCTGATTTCCTTTGGGTCTCCCCGATTTGTCTTGGACCACAAGGATGATTTTTCCAGCTGCTCTAGAGAAACATTCTTAGTTTCTAAAACCCTGAGAAGTCCCTCCCTCTCTCAGATTGCAGGGTCATTTGGAAATCAACAACCTATGAAATATTTCTACTTTCTTTACCTATCCTGCCCATATTTCAGCACCCTGGTCCACCACCAATGATTAGAATCAGAGGATGGCAGGCTGAGAGGCTGCTGGGACCTAAGGATGACGGCATCATAGAAGGCCAGACACCGAGAATCATAGACTCTTAGATTAATAAAACATCACAATAGCACCATTCTAATCCTAGATGATCAAGATCTCAGACTTGCAGAATGTTAGAGTCACAGAACCTCAGAATCTTAAATTTGTGGAATCTTAGATTCATGAAGGGGGATATGGAGTGTGATATTAGCCCTCCCTGCGGATGAGTGGACACACCCCATCTCTGTGGCCAGTCTTCTGGAAGAATAGAGAATACCCTTCTGCATGGGTCAAGGCAGGATGGTGTTATGGGAAAAGTCCCAGAAAGGTTGGAAGTGCTGGGTTCTTATCAGAGATCAAATTTAAAGTGCCATATAGATACAAACTAGCTGTATTAACTTCGACACATCTCTCTTCCTCTGTCTGCATCCTCTTCTACATCTGTCAAATCAGTTGGTTGAACTGGATGATTTTTAGGGTTTCTTCCAGCTCTGACATTCTGTGTTCTAAGGCCCCTTCCAGCTCTGACATTCTGTGTTCTAAACCCCTTCCAGCTGACATTCTATGTTCTAAGGTCCCTCCCAACTCTGACATTCTGTATTCTAAGATGCCCCCCAGTTCTAACATTCTAGGTACTAAGATCCCCCCCACTCTGACATTCTGTGTTCTAAGGCCCCTCTCACCTCTGACCTTCTGGGTTCTAAGGGCCCTTCCTTCTCTGACATTCTGTGTTCTAAGACCCCTCCCAGCTCTGCCATTCTGTGTCCTAAGGTCTCTCCCAGTTCTAACATTCTGTGTTCTAAAGCCCCTTCCAGCTCTGACATTCTGTGTTCTAAGGCCCCTTTCACCTCTGACATGCTGTGTTCTAAGGTTCTTCCCGGCTCCGACATTCTCCTTTTTAAAGTTCCTTCTAGCTCTGACATACTATATTCCAAGGCCCTTCTGGCTCTGACATTCTAGGTTCTAAGACCCCTTGTATTCTAACAGTCTGTGACTCTGACTCCTTGGTGTGTGTACTTACTCCCAGAACCACCTCAGACCTTACCTTTCTTATGTTTCTCTTTGAGGACTATCTTGACAGTGGTGCTGCCGCTCCCCTTCTGTCCAAAGTGTCTGGGGATGAAGCCCAGGGAGGAGCTGAGGCCTGTGGGTGCTGTGGTTCCTGGTGCCCGCCTGCTCCCACTCTGGTTAACACATGGGTCCTGGGAGTGCCTCTGCAAACAAAAAATACCAGGCTGATTCAAGGGAGGGCGAGAACCTGGGGCCAGATGGGGACCTCAGAAAGGCAGGCTAAGGTGAGATCCTGAGAAAGGCTTCCCCAAGCTGGGAAGAAGATGGCTTCTGATAGAGCTGGAGAGATCCTCAGCCACAAATTCCTGGGGCAGCCGGAGGGATGAGGTGGGTGTAGAGAGTTAGGGCATCTCCCAGCCCTGTGAGGAGTAACTAGGTAAGAACATCGCATTTCTAGAACACTGCAAAGTTTTTCATTTCCCATGACTCCATTTCACATATTCTTTGTTTGAGACCCATTGGATTTCTCCCTGTTCCCTGATCTCATTCTGTCTTCTCTGAGCACAGCTCACAATGCTCCCCTCCCACCAGGAATGGAATTGTCTCCCATCCCCATTCTGACATTCTATGTTCTAAGGCCCCTCCCAGCTCTGATATTCTCTGTCCTAAGGGCCCTTCCAGCTTTGACTTTCTAGGTGCTAAGGCCCTTTCCATTCTCGTAGCCTATGACTGATTCTTTAGTCTATGTACTTAATCTTCCTTCCTTGATGCCCACACCTCACCCCAATCACTCTCTGAGAGATAATTCTCAAATCTCTCTTAGAAGTCTGTGTGTATTTCTTCCTTGTGGTACACTTATTTTGTGTACGCTTTTTATAATTCCCTATTAGATTGTAAGTCCCTTGAGGGCAGAGACTATGTCCTTTTTTCATCTTTGTGTCGCCAGTGCTGAGCACATAGTAGGTGCTTAGTAAATGTTTATTAAATTTCATTGTCTTATTCAATCTTTACAACAACTTGATGAGGCAGATAGGACAAGTATTATTATTCCCATTTCACAGATAAGGAAGCTGAGGTTCAGATAAGTGACTTGTCCAATGTTACCTAGCTAGAAGGTTTCAGAGCTGCGACTCAGACTCAAGTCATCTAGCTCCAAATCTGGCACTCTTTTTGATATACCATCCCGCCCTATGGCAGGCAGCCAAGGGGGTTACCTCAAAGGCCCCCATTTGATCCAGGACCTAGGACTGGCAAGGGCCTGGGGAGGTTAAGGTCTCTGTTGTTATTCAGTTGTTTCAGTCATGGCCAATTCTCTGTGACCCCATTTGGGGTTTTTTTTGGCAGAGATACTGGAGTGTTTTGCCATTTCCTTCTCTAGCTCATTTTACAGATGAGGAAACTGAGGCAAACAGGGTGAAGTGACTTGCCTAGGGTCACACAGTTAGAAAGTGTCTGAGGCCAGCCCTGGAGTCAGGAAGACGCATCCATCCACTACACCACCTAACTGCCCAGCCTATAGATTTAGAGTCAGTTAAGTATGGGCTTGCCAGATCCAAAGAGATGGATCAAATGACCTCTACTCTCCCCAGACAAATACTATATATGTCTGGCCCATAGTAGGTGCTAAATAAACATTTATTGTTTGGCTGACTAAGCAAGCAGTGGGAGCTGTGGTCTCTTCAGAACCCTTCCCTATGTGACCGTGTACTAGTATATAGTACATAGTACATAGTACATAGTACATAGTACATAGTACATAGTACATAGTACATAGAGACTTCTCTATGTCAGGCAGAAAGTATGGGTGGTGGATCCAGGCTTGGAGAGCTCAAGATAATGTGTTGGGGACAAGTTTACTATTGGCTGTCCAGTCAGGAGCAGAATTCATATCATGTAAGGGAATGTTCTCTGGGGAAAAAAAAAGAGAAGGGGAAGAAGGTTCCCCTGGGGTCAGGCAAGCTCATATTCCTGACTTTTACAATTACTGAGCTTCATAGATATCTTGTGACTGGGAGAGAAGGAAGGCAAAGGAAGATAAACGACCAAGGAAAGGGAGCCTGGGGGGGAGGGGAAGGGGAAGGGGAAAATATGGAGGGTACACTGGAGGCCAACACGTTCAGTCCCCTCACTTTGGCCAACATCATTCTAGGCTAAAAAGGAGTTCGCCATAGAATTGGAATCTTAGACTGGCAGAGAAGGAATGGACCTTGAGACACAGAAGATGTCACAGGCACAGACAGCATCCTTTTCAGATTCACAGACGACACGAAGCTAGAAGGGGCAGCTAACAGAATGGAGGATGGAGTCAGTAACCCAACTTATTTTGGGAGGCTAAAAAATTGGGCTGAATTTAATAAAGTTCAATGTAAAGTCTTAGCCATAGACTTGCAAAATTGGCTTCACGGGTATGAGATGAGGAAGATGTGTTGAAACAGCAACATGTCCAGGAGTGTGGAGCTGGCCAACTCAAACTGGCTCATGGGAGCTGATTGTTAAAGTTTCAGTGTGAACCTTTATACATTGGAAATTAGAAAAATACTACAAATCAGAGCTTGAGTTGTTGTTTTGCTGATTATCTAGGCATAAGAAAATAATGGAGGAAATAATGATACTAATTAAACCTAAAAGTATATTTTGCTTTCTGGAGAGCCAGTTGTTAAGCGTTTATCAGCACACCCCTGAATATATCTGAAAAAGATCTCAGGATTTTTAGCGATTTAATATGAGTCAGCAGTATAACATAGCAGATTAAAAAATGAACGTGATCATGGGCTGCATGAAGACAGACATAGTTTGTCCCTCTTTATGCTGCCCTGGTCTGTCCACATCTGGAGTATTGCATTCAGTTCTGGGAACCACCATTTAAGAAGGACATTGGTCATCTACAGATCATCTGAGGGAAGGCAACCAGGATGAGGAAGAGTCTATACCACATGAGAATCTATTGAAGGAAGTGGGCATGTTTACTCTGGTGAAGAGAAGATTAAAGGGAGATATTATAGTGGTCTTCAAGTATATGAAAGGGTTTCAGAGAGAAGGGGAATAGATTTGTGGACTACATTTTGGCTCCAAAATTGGCAAGACCAGGAGAAATGAGTGGACTTTGCAGAAGAACAAATTTGGGCTGGATGTCAGGAAAGGCTTCTTGACAGGGATATCCCAAAGTAGAATGAGCTGCCTTGAGGGGCAATGGGCACCCCTAACTGCAGGTCCTCAAACATAGGCCAAGTGACCAATGGTGGACTATGTTGTCATGGGAATGGGTTAGACTGGATGGCTGCAGGCTTCCCCTCCAACTCTCAAGTCATTCTGTCATTCTATGAATATAAAATGGCAGAGTTGGAATGGTGAGATGATGTAGTCGAGCTCCTTCATTTACCAAGGAGACCAAGGACCAGAGAGAGGCAATGACTTGCTCCGGATTGTAAAGCAAATGAATGGCAGATACAGGACTGAAACCCAAGACCTTTGACTTCCTGATCTAAACTGGGGAGGGCTGGTAAATGTTTAATAACCAACTCTTTGAAAATGCAGGACACACTTCTAAGTGTAGTCTGCAATATTAACATTTCCTCTATTGCTTTCTTAAACTTAGACAATCAACAAAATAATAAATTAAGCTCTGATTTGTAGCATTTGCTGATTTCTGAGGTGTGATGCTTATACTGAAAATATAATAGTTGGTTCTCCTGAGCTGATCTGAGCTGGCTCCAGCATACGCCTGAATCTAGGGTTCTGTCCACATACCTTCTCCTTAACACCTACTGATTCTGTTTGTCTGGATGTGGTCTGGGCTGGGATGTGAGGTGGGTGCTCAGAAGGTGAGGAGAGGGAGTTTTGAGTGTTAGATAGAGGAGGAGTTTGGACTCTATCTGCCAAGAAGAGTATATATGTGGCTAAAGGAATGAAGTCATCGAGAGAGCATTAGATTGGAAGCTGGGAATGTGAGGATTTGAACCTGTCTCCTGACACCAATTCACTGTGTGACCTTGGACAAAACACCTGACCTCCCTGAATCTCTGTTTCCTCCCCTGTCAAATGGGGATAATCAAATTCACACTCCTTATTCTCACACAATTGTTGTGAGGAAATAACTTTGTAAACCTTAGTATTACTGTGCCGTAAGCAACTACCAATATGAGAAACTCAAAGAAACATGGGAAAACTTGTCTATAGTGATACAGAGGAAAGAAAGAAGAATCGAGAAGTAAAAACCAGTTTTGAAATTTCAGCATGCAGCTAGGTGGTACAGTGGATAGAGCACTGGGCTTGGAATCAGGAAGACTCCTCTTCCTGAGTTCAAATCTGGCCTCAGACACTTACTAGCTGTGTGACTGTGGGCAAGTCACTTAACCCTGTTTGCCTCAGTTTCCTCATCTGTAAAATAAGCTGGAGAAGGAAATGACAAACCAGTCTAGTATCTTCGCCAAGAAAACCCCAAAGCAGTCATGAAGAGCCAGATACAATTGAAATGACTCAACAACAATCTCAGGCAAATCATTTTACCCATGTGGGCCTCAGTTTCTTTATCTGCAAAATGAGAGGGATGGAGTAGATGGCCTCTGAGATCCTTTCTAACTCTACCTTTCTAAGATCTATGATATTATGGAATAGAAAACAAACAAAACTCATCTGGGTTTTGTTTTGCTTGTTTGTTTTTGTGAGCCTAGGTCAGCTTAGCTCTCCTAGACTAGGAGCGCACCACTGCAATTCCAATTCTAATCAGCACAGAAACTCAAACCACCTCTGCTCCAATCCAGACTGGTTTGCCCCTCCATGGGTCCATTAGTGGCCCTCTGATCCTGGGAACTCTTCATATTGAGGTCAGATTGAGTGTGGACACCCAAACAGCTTTAGCCCTATTATATTACTTAATTACTTGTAATAATTTATAAGTATTTTATATATAATATAATAATAATAATATTACTACTAATAATTCAATTATTAATTGATATGTTACAATATATTATATTATAAGACAACCTGAGCTCAAGTGATCCACGATCCTCAGTCTTCCTACAGCTGGGATTATAGGTGTTCATCAATACACCTGGCCAGCTTTCTGTAGCTTTTAAAGCCCTTCATAACATGGCCCAACATATATTTCCAATCTCAATGGACAAGACTTCCCCTCTCACATTTTGCAATTCAGTCAAACTCTCTGTTTCTCCCATAGTGCACTCCATCTCCATTTCTTTGCATTGGCCATATTACGTGCCTGGAATAACCCCCTGTCTGGACCTCATAAAGTCCTTCTCTTACTTTCAGACACAGTCCAAGCACCTTCTTCTGCTGGAAGTCTTTCCGGATCCCTCCAAGGCTAGTGCCTTCCGTCCTGGACTTCCTGGTTTTTAATTACTTTGAATATATTTGTGTTTATCCATTTTATACTTAATGATATATCTATATAGCTACTTGTTGTTATCTATGTTCTTATTCATGTGTTTCCCATTAGAAACTAAACTCCTTGAGGGCAGGGGTCATTTCATTCTTTTCACTTGCGTCTCTAGCACCCAGCACATAGTAGGTGCTTAATCAATACATAACTGATTGAAATGGGACCTCTGGCTGTTATTATCATTTGTGGACTCTGGGGGTAACTGGGCTCTTTGCTGAAGTGGGATGGGAAGCACCCTAGTAGGACAAGATAGTTTCTACTTTCTGCCCCCATCTTTTTCCCCCTAATGCCCTAGTTAGCCCCAGTTTAGTAGAAACAAAGATGGAGTGCCAAATCCCATCATACTTGATTGCTTTGTTGATAAATTTCACTTAACGATTTTTCCTTGTTACAAGGGTTCAATTTGTAGATTATATTGGGAAGTTGCTATGCTATAAAAAGGAGCCAGGAATCAGATTACTAGAATGGACTAGAGGCCTGAGGTGGGCAGATCTCAGATTGGTGTGGTAGTGTCCTAGAACAGGAGATGCCATTATGGTCTTTGGGGCCATGACGGTGGCCATGGTGGGAATAGGGCAAAGGTGGTTAGGGATTTGGTTCATCTGAACCAAAGGACCCAGCAGGCAGAAAAGCAAAGGCCACTGGTCTCAGGGCTTCAGTTGGGATTGATCGGTCAGAGGGCAAAAGATTCTTGAGATCAGTTCTGATCACGAGCTGAGGTATTAGTAGAGCAAATCCTATGGGCCAAAATGGATAATTTATAGTGGGAGCCACTGAAGGTTTCAGAGTGGTATCAATCATTTAATCAATTAACAAGCATTTATTAAGCACCATCTACCAGTCAGACACTGTGCTAGTTGCTGGGGACACAAGTACGAGGAATAAAATAATCCCTACTTGTAAGGAACAGCTCCCATTCTGATAGGGAATGGTCAGGCCTTTGTGAAAATTATTTTGAAAACTGCATCAAGGATTGACTAGAGACGGAAAAGATCACAGGGAGGAAGAGGGGCAGAGAGACCATTGCAACAATTTAAGCAAGAGGTGATGAAGGCCCAGACCAGAGCAGTGGGTGCATGATGGAGAAGAGAGGATGGACGAGAAGATGAGAAGACCTTCTGCAGACCTGACCATGTCATTTTCCTGCTTAAAGAAAGTTTCAGCAGCTTCCTCATTGCTCCCAAGCTAAAATAGAAACCCTTGATTTGGCTACTTAAGGCCCTGCACAATTTGTCTCTAGCCCACCTGTCTAGTCTTATCTTCCAAATACTTCATGAATTCTATGTTCTACTCAAACTAAACTATGAGCTGTACTCTGACTGTGTCCTGCCCTCTCCTGCTACGTCACATTCATTTAGCCTAGCCCACATGGATCACCCTCTTCCTCCTCTCTACCTGTGGAAATTATAGGATTATGGATTTAGAGTTAGAGCTAGTAAGAACATTGGAGACTGTCTAGGAGTAGTAATAACACCACCACCAGCAGCAGCTAGCATTTATATGGGACTTACTCTGTGCAAGGGACTGTGCTATGTACTTTGAAAATATCTCATTTGATCCTTGCAACGAGCCTGGGAGGGAGGGGCTATTTTTATCATCCCCATTTTACAGATGAGGAAACAGAGACAAACAGGGTTAAGTGACTTGCCCAGGGCCACACAGCTAGGAAGTGTCTGAGGTCACATTTGAACTCAGGTCTTCCTGCCTCCAGGCTCAGTGCTCTATGCCCTGTGCCGTTGTATTGTCTTTACTGTGTATGTGCTTTTTCCATCCCATTTGACTTGAAGCTCTTTTTACAACAGGGAACTTAGTCTCCCCAGAGTCAAACCCGTGTCTGGCCACTTACTTTTTTTTTGTCCAGACTTGCAATTTCATCGGTGTAAGGCGCTCCCAGTGAGGAAGCTGTCTCCACCAATAGAGGTCTGCAAATGATAGTCATCTGGGAAACTGAAAAGTTAAATAACTTGCTCAGGATCACACAGCCAGTAAGTGTCTGGGGCACGACTTGAACTTGTGTCTTCCTAACAATGAGGGCAGTTCTTTATTTACTAAGCCATGGTATCTCTGCCGAATCAATGCTTGAATTGAACTAGCTTAAAGCCAAATGGACAGGATTTTGTGACTTTGTGACTCTGGTTGGACAGGGGAAATGAGGGAGATGGAAGAAGTAGAGACAAGTACTTAGTTTCTTGTAGAAAGGTGAGAGAAAAGATGGAATTGGCAAGAGTAGCAGGTTCTAAAAGAGGATGAGGAGCCAGATTGTGCCAGGACTCTGAATCCCTCTTCCTCTTTCCCAGGCAAGGCTGCACTGGAGATGAGCATAGGAAAGATCATACACTTACCACTCCTCGGTATAACTGCAGGGTCTCTTCTTCAGCTGATTTCTCATATGACCCATCTGGAAAACCAAGGTAGAAACAGACACTCTGGTGTTGAGCATACAAACTGGATTGCTTCTGGTATTTTCTTTGGTTATGAATCGTTTTAAATTTTTTTTCTTTTTAAAACATTAACAATCTTGCCTTCTCAATGGGTGAGGGAGGGGATGGAGGAAAGGAGAGAATTTAAAACTGAAAATAAAGTTTAAAAAACCAAGCATTTAAGCATTCATTATCTCTCCTTTCTATCCTCTCATTGAAGAAAAAAAAAGAAAAAGAAAAACAAAACCTTTGTAAGAAATATACATAGTCAAGCAAAATAAATTCCCACATTGACCACATGAAAATGTATATCTCAATCTGCAGCCTAAGTCCATCACTTCTCTGTCAGGATGTGGGTAGCAGGCTTCCTTAACAGTCCCCTGGAACAGAGGTGTCAAACTCATGCCCATCACCAAAACTCTCCAAGTGCTGCCCCAATTAGATTAAAATATAATTGGGTAATGTTTAACAAAATAAATAAAAATACAATACAACACAGATAATGTCAATTTGTGGCTTTCTAAGTCAATATGCTACCCGCCAGGATCTGTTTCTATTTAAATATGACATGCTACTCTGGAATCATGATGGTTCTTTGCATTGATCAGAATTCTGAAGTCTTTCAGAGTTGTTTGCCTTCACAATGTTGATTTTATATAAATTGTTTTTCTGATTCTGCTCACTTCATTCTGCAACAGTTCATAAACACATGCACACATATATACTAATGGCACAGTAGTATTACAATACATACATAATTTGTTCAGTCATTCCCCAATTGATGGGCCTTCCTTTAGTTTCCAGTTTTTTTTGCTACCACAAACAGAACTGCTTAAGTATTTTTTGTACAGATGTGTCCTTTGCTTGATCTCTTTATGGTATAGAACTAGTAGTGATATCATTGGGTCAAATTTTGTCCCAAAAGTTTAGTGACTTCTCAGCATAATTCCCAAATGCTTTCCAGAATGGCTTTCCCCATTCACAGCTCCATCAATAGTACTTTAGTGTAATTGTTTTCCTGTAGTCTCTCCAATATTTTTTGGATATGTATTGTCCCTTCATCTGCCACCTTCTCACATTGGTCACCCAAATTTCATCTACAACCCTCCCTTCTCTCCTACCTGCTCTTCTGGGCTAGAGAAATTAGAATCCCATGCAGGCTTTCCAGGATTAAAACTATTCAGCCTTCCTCCTTTGGCACTTAAGAACCAAGTTTAAACAGGTCTCTACATTTCCTGTGAGTGTGTCTGTCTCTTTCCCCTTGCCTCGCAGAAGAGGTTGTATCTGGGCTATGGGCAAATTGATGATTTGAAAGAAATGAAAAGTCATAATGAGGTGGAGTCTTCCAAAAGAGGAGGAAATGATGAAGGGAACTGGTTGCTGAAAAAGAGCTGACAAGATTGCTAGGAAGTGACCACCCTATCTTACAGTCTCTGATCAATAAGAAAGAGTGAGTGACACCGAGTCTGACCTGACAAACCCAGATTGGGGGAGAATACATTCCAAAGTGTTCTGAAGGCATAGAGGCAGGAACCCATGGCCTAAAATGCTACAAGGTCCCAAGAAGGATGGGTGGTTCTCAATAATGAAATTCTGAGGCTGCAAACACAAATGATTCCAATGAGGAGGAATAAATAGGAGCTGGTTAATGAGAACACATGGGTGTACAACTTACCAATTTAAGATTTAGAAAAGACATGTACATTTCTCTTGAACTGGAAAATAAAAGGAGGTGATGGAATCTATTTTATCATGTATCTAAAGCCAACAAGAACCACCATTTTATGGGCCATCTGATTGATTTGCATTGCAGTGTTTATGATAGGTTTGCAAAAAGACCAGTATGAAAATAATTTTAGCTCAGCTCACATGTGCCAACATCTGTTTTATAGGATAGGGAATTAGAGAAATTCTATGAAGAACTTGGTAATCTCCTTCAAATTATATCAACATATAGTGTCATATAGCATAATAACTTTGATGAAAAGGTGGGCATAGGGGAGTATGGCAAGGAATATGAGCTGGAAAATATAGTTCAGGAGTAAGAAATGTGATAATCTAGACTAGCCTGTAAACTACAAAGAAACTTCATGCCTTTATACCTCAAATGCCTTCCCTGAGAAAAAAAGACCCTAGATATAGTGAGTACCAAATATCACAAAAAATGAAATTATCTTTTAACAAATATGAAAAAAATGAATTTTTCAGATGATTATAAATGACTGTGAATCAGAGGATGCCAATCTCTGAAAAATTAAAGTTAAGTGTCACCCAAAAGGCAATTGAGAGGCACATGGCATGTGTGAGCCTGCTGCAATATATTACAAATGAATTGGGTAGAAGATGTTGCCTAAAGGATGTCTTCAGAGAGATCTAAGATCAAAAAAATGAACTTGTCATATACCAAGAACAAGCATGACTCATGGATGTGGGCATTATTTCTAAGTCAGCTATTTGACTTATTAGAGCAAATGTCAAATTTAGTATCAAACTAGAGAAATAAAAATTGTGGCAACTTCTATCTGACCTACTTTTTAAAAAGTGTTGATGCCTCAAGATGGGAAATGGATAAAAGAACAAACTTTAATACAGATTCTTACTATTTCCTGAAGAAAATTAAGCTGCATAGATCACTACTCATAATGAGACCAAAAGGGCTTTGAAACTTCCTCCATCAGCCAACACTTGAGCTTCTTTCCAAGCAGAGAGATACGGCAGCTAAGGGTAACACTGATTTGGAATTTAAACTCATTGTAAACTCTTATGGAGGAGGATGGTGGAAGAGAATGAGCTGCATAAAATGGTAAGAACAAGCAGAGGGAAAAAATACAAATTTAGATGTACTTACCTCCTAGGATTGTTGCGAGGATCAAATGACATAATATTTGTAAAGTGCTTAGCACACTGCCTGGCACATAGTAGATGCTATATAAATGCTAGTTATTATTATTATTACATGCCACTATCATGAAGGATGTCACTGTGGGGTACAAAAGAAAGAGGGATTCCCTAAAACTGGTGAAATCTTCAAGAAGCTCTCGTTTGTGCAAGATGTTGTGCTGATTGCATCAAGCCCCAGAGAGTAGCAGAATAAGATCCATAATCACTCAAAAAAGTTTTGTCTAACTGTCCACATGGGAAAAACCAAGAATGAACATTATCTATTATCCAGATTAGGATAAGCATTTGGAAGGATGATCCATAGAGCTGGTCCATCCTTCAACATATCTTGGGCAGACACCGCAAATGACGATAAGCTCAACCCAGAGTTGAAGAGGAGGAGGAGAGAGGGTTGATTTCCTTTGTGAAATGGAACAGCTTTTAAAGGCCCCAAGATTTCCCTTGAAACAAAGGCCCATCTTTTAAACAATAGAATTCTTCAGATGATTGTAAGTCACAAATCAGAGGATACCAGTCTCTGAAAAATTAAAGTTAAGTGTCACCCAAAAGGCAATTGAGAGGTACATGGTATGTGTGAGCCATATTGTAAATGAATTGGGTAGAAGAAGTTGCTTAAAGGATGTCTTCAGAGAGATCTAAGACCAAAAAAATGAACTTGTCATGTACTGAGAGCAAGGGATGACTCATGGGTGGCCTGCGTGTTCTCTTAGTATCCAGGCAACATCAAGATACCTAAAGAAAAGCCACTAGCATGTTGGCTGGACCTCTTTTATAGAATTTATGGGAGGACATTAACATGAATCACACAGGAGGGGTAGACATGGATAGGTTGTGTTCTGGGTTTTTTTGAGGGAGTACCCACATTGAGGAGATCACAGACCTAGAGAAGTATGTCCTGGGGATGGATGCACGTAATAAGGCAGGTAACAGAAGATCAAAACAAAAGATTAGCATAACTCTGTGAGAATAGTATCAGTATGAGCCCAGGTTTGTAAGAAATGCTAAGGACAATGAAAAGGGCTTTGAAAGATTTTAAGACATTTGATCAATGTAATGGGCAACCATGACTCTAGAGGACTGATGATACAACACACTGCCACTGCCATTGCCACTGACAGAGAAGTGATGCATTAAAGTGGCAGAATGAAACATACATTTTAAGGCACAGATTTTGTGTCCATGACTTGTAAAGATAGAATGAAAATGGGAAACTGAAACCCAGGAGATGGTAAGAGAATATCAAGCTGCCTTCAGCCAGTTCAAGCCATCAGGCCCAGAAAGACAGTATTCCATGCACTGAGAGAACCTGTAGACATGGGGGACAATTTATGTAAAGGTCGAATAGGGAATAATCATGGTCTATCTGGATTTCACCAAAGTATTTGATAAACTCTCTCCTTACTGTGAGCATGACAGCGAAATGTGAGCAAGGTTGGGTGTGGATTGAAAAGTGATTGATTGAATGAATGACCAGATCAATAGACTAGGGGGTTTATGGATCAATGTTGACCTGGAAGGAGGTCCCTCAGGGTCAGATCCCAAAGGATCTGTCCTTGGCTCTGTTATAACCAACATTTTTTATCAGTAACTTGCATGAAGGCCAAATAATATACTTGATACAGTTGAGTATGACAGGGGAAGGGAAAAGAAAGGGGGAGAGAATAAGTGTTTATTTTATCTCATTTGACAGGAAGTTGAGGTCAGTTATACTAGATGACAGAATTAGGGCCTAAAATTTCTTAGAAAGCTTGAAAAATGAACTGAATGAATTGTGTATATATATATATATATATATACACATATATAATGTTTGGCTAGACAACACAGTCCATTTGAAGGTCTTAGTGGACCTCAAGCTTGGTGATGTCAGCACTGACATATGTTAACAGAAAAGGTTAAACTATAATGTTCAGAAGGAATTATTAACCTGAGTATCCTCTGCTCTGGTCAGAGCACACATTCAGATCACTGTGTTCTGGAGCCATGTTTTAGGAATGATTTTGATAAGTTAAAGCACATCCAGGGGTGGGAGATCAGCATGGGGAGGGGACCGGAGACTATTACATGAGGATCAGTTGAAAGAGCTAGAAATGTTTAGTCCATAGAGGAGAAGACTTAATGGGGAACGTGACAACTGTCTTCAAGAAGAGGAAGAAGGTTGAACCTTCTTCTGCGTTGTTGTAGAAGACAGAAGCTGCAGGGCATCAGATTTTGGCTCAGTATTAAAAGAAGCTCCGTAACAATTAGACCTGTCTAAAAGTGAAATGTGATGCTAGGGAAGATAGTAAGTGCCCCATCCCTAGAGGGTCAGACACAGAGGATCCATGGCTACCTGTGGGCATAGTGTAGAGGGGATGCCTGCTTGGGTACAGGTGGATTGGTGGCCTTCTCATTTGATTCTGAGATTTTGTGATTCTATATTCTATGATGGAGGGTCTCACTCAGCAGAGGTAATAACAAGGGCTAAGCAAATGTGAGGAGTACAAGAAAATGCATAAAACTTGCATCTACTATCTCAAGCAGGCCATGCCATTAGGATCAGGGCAAGGGGCAAGTTTATATTACTGACTCAGAAGCAAAGATAGCTGATCATAGCGTGCCTCCTAGCTCTGACTTTTTATGTTCTGGGTTCCTTTTAGCTCTGAAAGTCTATATTTTAAGGTCCTTGCCAGTCCTTACATTCTATGTTTTAAGGTCCTACACTATCCTACCCCCTTCCCACATTCTAAGATCATACCCTAACAATCCCAATGGCAAATAAAGTCTCAAGGGCAAAAATGGTGAAAAAGTCCCTCTTGAGCACGTGTTAGATAACAGCTCCACACCATCCTCTAGTGGTAGCCCCATGTACTGCAAACTCCTACTTCAGACCCTCCCTCCCAGGCCACTTCCTGAATTGATAGTTGTGATGGATGTGAGGAAGGCTCTAATTCCATAGCTAATGTGACCCTAAACTTAAGCCTAACCTGGTTCAAATAAAAGCACCCTTCGAAACCCAGCTCATGAGTCACCTCCTCCAAGAAGTCTTCTCTGACCACCCCTACCCACCCTGATCTTGGCCAAACAGTTCAGTTAATTATTTTCCAACTGTTCAGGATGTCAGGATGTACATGTGTGAAAGAACCAGAGAGTTTGTGTGAGAAAGTGTGTGTGTGTGTGTGTGTGTGTGTGTGTGTGTGTGTGCATGTGTGAGTGGGTTCAAAAGAGAAAGAGTGAATCGCCCTGGTGTGGCATGGTAGGTCTATTCTCTGAGGCTAGACTGGGAAATAGGGACTTGACTCTGGGCAAGTCCCTTCATATCATTAGGCCTTCATTTCCTCATCTGTAAAATGAGGATATTTGTACTACTTACCCTCCAGGGATGTTGTATCCTGATTTAATGACAGAGAATTAACTCTCTATATAATTCAAGTTGATGACCAGAGGCCACCACAGGGGATAGAGTAAGGGTAAGCAAGTATATGGTGTGGTGGAAATATCCCTAGGCTGGGGAGGATGGGGGGACAACAGGAGACCTGGGTTCTAATCTTGGCTGTGCCATTAATTCATTGTCTGAATTTTAGTCATTAAATTGATAACTCCGACTTCTATAATGCTTTACACTTGGTAAACTCTGTGAGGTAGATATTAGTATAACTATTTTACAGATAAGGAAACTGAGGCTCAGAGAAGGTAAATTACTTGCTTAAGGCCACACAGAGTTGTGAACTTAATCTCAGGTACACTGGCTCCAAATTCAATGAAATCCCAGCTTCCACTACATTATGAGCCTCTATAACATGCTTCTATAAAATGAGGGGTTTGAACTAGGTAACACCTGAGGGCCCTTCCATCTCTGGTTTGTCTCCATTCTTTCCTGCCCCAAAAAGGGAAGAGAAGCAAGCCTTCAAACTCCCTGATCCAGACACATATCTGGAGTTCTGTGTTCAATTCTGGAGCCACACTTTAGGAATGACTCTAAAACCAGAGCACATCCAGAGGACGGTGATCAGGATAAGGAGGGACTGGACAGATATCACATGAGGATCGATTGGAATTCTAGATTAATAGTCCTATGAGCTAGACTTCAATTCTTGCCACACTGATTAATGGGATGATGAGTAGCATGACGAGCCAGTATGGCTTAACTTAGAACAGATCATGCCAAACTAACCTCCTTTCTTTTCTTGATTGGACAACTCAACTGGTTGATAGATCAGGGGTCAGTTGTAGATGTAGGTTACCTGGATTTTAGCAATGCAATTGACAAAGTCTGTCATTGTATTCTTGTAAAAAAGGTGGAGAGATGATGATACAACTAATTGGGCTTGGTTGAATGGGCAGACCCAAGGAGAGGTCATCAAAGATCTGATGTCAGCTTGGAAGGAGGTTGTTAGTGGAGTGCCTGCTATCGATCTATAGCTGGCCCTGTCCTGTTTAATAATTTTATCAATGGCTTGGATATAGTTTTATCTGTTTTATCAAGACTGCAGATGATACCAGAATGGGAGGGAGAGATGACACATTGCATGTCAAGGGGCGGGTCCAAACACATCTAGACAGTCTGGAACATTGGGCTGAACCTAACAGGGTGAAGATAAAATAGAATAGGAATAAAGGTAAAGTTGTACACTTGGGTTAAAAAAACCCAACTTCTCAAGTATAAGATGGAAGAGGCATAGAAACATCAGTTCATTTGAAAAAGATCTAGGAATGCAAGAAGTCACTAAGTTAATGACAATAAGCATTTATGTGGCACTTGAAGGTTTTCAAAATGCTTTATATGGGATCTTTTGATCCTCACAACAACCCTATTACTATCCCCATTTTACAGATGAGGAAACTGAGGCTAGGAAAAACGGTTAAGTGACTTGCTTGATGTCACATAGCCAAGTAAGTACCTCAAGTAAGATTTGAAGGTATTCCTGACTCCAGGTCAACACTGTATGTACTGTACCACCTAGCTGCCTAAATTGTTCATACCCTTTGACCCAATGATCTCACTACAGAGCAAGAAGGTGAGGAAGCCAAAGTGAAAACAACAGTAAAGAATGTTCAGATCCTAATGATCTGCAATGATGAATGTCCATCCTAGAAAACTGACAGTGTGACCCACCTCACTGCTGTCAGTAGAGAAGTGGGTAAGTATGGGGTCAGAATGCTGGATAGGCTGCCAGGGGTGGTAGATTTGTCAGTAGGCTTTGTCCAACTTATTCTTTGTTATGGGGGGGGGGGATGGATTAATAGGAGGAGTCTATCAGGAAAAGAATGTAGTATAAACACGAAGGCACCAAAAGTCTTGGGTTCTTAGTAAACTGCGAGCTCCAGATGGATTGGCAGAGTGTTAGAAGAGCCAAGAAAGTGAAGGCAACAGAAAGTATTTCTTGCTGTATTGAGAGAGATGTAGTGTCTGGGACTAGGAAGATTAGAGTGTTCTCATCAGACCACAGCTGGAGAACGAGGGGCAGTTCTGGGTGCCATATTTAAGGAAGGATGTTGATAAGTTGGAGTACATCCAGAGGGTTAAGCAGGATGATGTGAGGCCTGGAGATCTTACCATACGAGGATTGGTTTGAGGAACTGGGGATGTTTTGCTTGGAGAAGAGAAGATTTAGGAGAGACATGATAGCTGTCTACTTGTATTTAAAGGACCACCACATTGAAGCGGGATTGGACCTGTTCAGCTTGAACCCAGAAGGCAGAATTAAAAAGGGCAGAAGTTGAAAAAAGGGAAAATTTAGGTTTGACATAAAAAAAAAACTTCCTGACAATTAGCTCTATGCAAAAGTAGCCTTGGGGGTTAGTGGACTGCCCTTCACTGGAGAGCTTCAAGGAAAGGGCAGATATACCTTTTGGGTATGTTATAGAAGGGATTCATTTTTAACAAAAGGTTGGAATTGATCGTCTCTGAGACTACATCTAACTCTGTGATTTTGTAACATTTTATATTCTAAGATCCCTTCTAACTCTGGCATTCTATGTTCTAAAGTTCCTTCCTACTCTGACATCTTATGTTCTAAAATCCTTTCTAGCTCTAACATTCTATGTTCTAAGGTCCCTTCCAGTTCTGATATTCTGTGTTCTAAGGTCTCCTTCCAGCTCTGACATTCTGTGTTCTAAGATCCCTTCCAGTGCTGACATTCTGTGTTCTAAGCTCTGACATTCTGTGTTCTAAGGTCCCTTCCAGTGCTGACATTCTGTGTTCTAAGGTCTCCTTCCAGCTCTGACATTCTATGTTCTAAGCTCCCTCCAGCACTTTCATTCCATGTTCTGAGGTCCCTTCTAGCACTGATGATCTGGGGCAACCACATTGGCAGGCTTTGGCTTACCTTTGCAGGTGTGACAGCAGGAGTCAGGCACTGGGACAGGTGTGGGACAGCTGGTTTCAGGACAAGTCATGAGGCCACAGTAGATTTGGCCTTCCTGGGAAAAAGAACATGGAGCAAGTTCAGTGATTGGGCCTGCTGCCCTTGGAGACTAGACACAGAATATTCTACCACACTGGAAAGGACCTTAGAACAGAGAGTACAGAATGTCAGCTTTGGAAAGGGCCCAAGAGATCCTCTAGGATGTTGAGGAAGCTGGTGGGAGGCAGAGGGGGGTTAAGTGGCCAGAGGGCTAAATTTAAGGTGAGAAAAATCGAAGACCAAGTCCCTACTCTGACATTTTTCATTGTTTGACCAGGCAAGTCACAAGCTGAGGCTTAGTTTCCTTGTCTGTAAAATGTGAGAATGGACACCTTCCTACCTTACAGGGTAGTTGTGAGGCTCAAATTAATAATAAATAGCATTTATATAGCACTTCCCAGCTCTGACATTCTGTGTTCCAAAGGCCTCTTCCTATGCCACTATTGTCCCCATTTTACAGATGAGGAAAGTGCTTGTATTTCTATCCCCAGCACTTTGCAAAGTACCTAGCATAGAGTCAGTGCTTAATTAATGCTTATTGATTTGACTTCACCTGGGAAGAGTGAAGTGAGTTGCTCAGAATCACACATCTAGCAAGTATCTGAGTCCTGTCTGTCTTGTCTATAGCTTGTTTGTATATATTTGCTTGTCATCTCTCTCATTAGACTGTAAGCTCCTTGAGGGCAGGGACTGCCTTTTGCTTCTTTTTTGTATGCTCAGGGTTTAGCATAGTGCCTGGCACATAGTAGGTGCTTAATTTATTAACTGATTATTATTAGTTATTATTAGTCAGTTGACTGACTCAGGATTCAAACTCAGGGCTTCCTCATTCAAAGCCCAAAATTCTATCTGCATTGCCATCTATCTGCTTTATATATCCTTATTGTCTATCATCTCTCCAGTGAGATCATGGGTATAAAGGACTACATGGGTCAGTTATCATGAAGTCATGTTTTGAGATTTACAGAAAACTTTCAGTCCTGTTTGGATTCAGTGGCCTCCATGTAACAAGTCAGGGAAGTATTGACTGCCTTTTAGAGAGAGATGTCGTATTGAATAGGGTGGGAAGGATGCCATGTCAGGAATCTACAGACTTGGGCTCTTATCTTGTTTCTTCCACTAACTTGTTTTATGACCTGGACAAGCCATTCCCCTTCTAGGGACCTTGGGCTCCTGGTCTGTAAAAGGGGGGAATTGGACTTAATGACCAATGAATGACCGGTGCCCACAAGCTCCAGTGGCCTGATATTTCTGTCAAAGTTATTGAGAAATTTTGGCCCTACCAAAATAATAACTCCTTTTTCCACAGTACCATAAGACTTGGAAAGTTCTGGCTTCCCAGCAATCCTGTGGGGTAGGAAGTTTGATTATTATTATAAGCCCCATTTTGCAGATGAGAAAGCCAAGGTTCAGAGAGGTTACATGATTTGTTCATGGTCACAGAGCTAGTAAATGTCAGAGGCAGGATTCAAATCCAGGTCTCCTGACTGCAGACTCCACAAACTTTTCACTATACTATGCTGACTCAAGAATAAGCTTCACTTATCTGGAAAATAAGAGTAACTTTCATTTATATGGTACAGTCTAGTTATGCATTATTGTCTCTGATTCTCACAAAAGATAACAGGGTATGGATTTTGATCCCCATTTTATGAAGGAGGACGCTAAGGATCAGAACCACAGCTCAAAGCCAGTCTCCTCTTTATCTTACAACAGGTTGCCTTGCAAGTGTGCTAATGTCTAGCTCCTCATTCCCATATCACACTGCATAAATGAGTTATATTATACTGTGTTTCCATTCGTATGTTAGATACTTGCTCCTGGTCATTCTACCACCCCTCTGCCTCTACCTGAGGGGAAAAATAAAAGACTAGATGAAGGTAAAGGCCCCTCCCAGCTCTGACATTTTCTTTGTTCTAAGGGCCCTCTCAGCTCTGACATTTTCTGTGTTCTAAGGTCCCAGCCAGCTTTGACATTCTATGTTCTGTGTTCTAAGGTTCCTTCTAACTCTGCTATTTTCTATTCTAAGGTTCCTTCAAGCTGACATTTTATGTTCTACATTTTAAGGTCCCTTCCAGCTCTGATATTCTATGGTCTAAGTAAAAAAAAGTCACCAAGTGCCCCTATCCAAATCTGTGGTTTCTTCTCATCAAAGGGGCAGCTTACAGGTGTGAAATTATGGTGTGTGCGGGCATGAGCTGTGTGTATACAGAGTGATCTATTTCACCAGCCTGGGACGTGCTGAGCAGGGCAGAACCAGGGAATATTTAGATTGGTAAGGTTTCTGAGGCCAGGAGAGGCCAAACTCAGCAGTTTTCACCTCTCTCCTTTCCCAAGGCTCTGGAATAGCTCTCTAAGCAAAGCCACCACATTCTCCTCACCCAGCCGCCTTCCTGGCACCCACAGACCCTCCAGATCTGGGGAGACTCAGCACAACGGTAAGCTGTGTGTGCGCCAGTGGGCCGCCCATTCTGGAAGAGCAAAACTATGGCACGGCTCGGGCCTTGAGCTCCGGTGCAGTCAAGGTGTCTGAAAGTAGGTCACTCCTAGAGGCTCCCAGCTCAACGGAGGTGTCACTTTGGGACACCTTGAGAGAAGAGACAGCAGGATACAATGGAAAGATCACTGGACTGAGAGTCAGAAGAGCTGGATTTGAATCCTAGGGTCTGCCTGCCTCCTTTCCTCACTACGACCAACCCCCAGGAAATAGCTAAGCCAAAGAGAAGGGCCAACATCCTGAAGTAGAAAAAGCCTTAGTCCATGGGTTCTGACATCTGGGGGCTCAGTATCTATTTTCATCACTGACTTTCTGTAAGCCCTTCCTTCTTAGAGGAATACTTACTAGGAGACAGAAAGGGAGGAAGGAAGAAAGGAAGGAAGGAAGGGAAGGAGGAGAGAAGGAAAGGAGGAGGGAAGGAGAGATAGGGAGGAAAGAAGAAAGGAAGGAAATATTTATTAAGTGCCTAGCCCATGGTGCTAAACACTTTATAAATAATATCTCAGTTAACCTTCACTATACCACTGGGAGATAGGTTTTATTATTATTATTCCCATTTTACAATTGAGGAAACTGAGGTAGATAGCAGTGAAGTGACTTCCTGTCACACAGCTAATAAGTTTCTGAAGCTGGATTTGAATTCAGGTCTTCCTGACTCCAGGCTCAGTGGCTCTATCCACTGTTCCACCCAAAAGTACCTAAGGGAAGGCTAGGAGGAGATAACAGCTATTGTCAAGTATGTGGAAGGCTACTTAACTATTTATGTGATCAAGCCAGTCACTTAACCTTGGTGGGCCACAATTCCTCAACTGAAAAATGACCGGGCAGGACCAGATAGGTTCAAAGGTCCCTTTAAGCTTCAAATCTGTGATCCTTTGAATAAACATTCAGAAATCACCTACTGTATGTATGCAAAGCTCTGTGCTAGGTGCTTAGGATGGTCAGAAGCACTGGGTTTGAGCCCAGCCTCAGACACTTAGCCAAGTTACCATGGGCAAGAGACCTCACCTCTCTAAGGCTCAGCTGTGACTTAGCTACCTCATTCAGTGCAGTGTGAAAGTCAGCCTCAAGGACGTGGGCTTCAGCCTCACATTTGGGCATAATTGTGTGTATGTGTGTGTGTGTGCGCGTGCTAGCATACGTATGCATATCATGGGCTGATGTAGAGGGGTTCCTAACCTGGAGTCTGTGAACTTGTCTTTTCTTTCTTACCCAAACATTCTGTGAACTTGTCCCTTCTAAGAAGGGATCCATAGGCTTCTCCAGACTGACAAATGGGCCCAGGACACAAAAACAGTTAAGAACTTTTGTGGAGAAAACAATGTTCTAAGAGTAGAGAATCCAGGGTTTGACAACCAGTTCTAGCAGTTACTAGACATATAAGATCTTGGATAAGTCACTGGGGGTCACAGAGAGGAGGTGTGTCTCTCTGTCCATCAGTCAGACAGTCAGTCAGCATACTGTTAAGCACATCATGTGTCTTGGCCCTGGGCTAAGCGCTAGGGATACAAAGAAAGGCTAAAGCATGGTCTCTTCCCTCAAGGGGCTCCTGCTTTAATGGAGGAGACAACATGCAAATAACTACATACAATATACATACACAGTAAATGGAAGGTAATTTTAGAGGGTGGGGGGGTGAGAGCATTGGGAAAGCCTTCCCAGGATTTGAAGTGAAACTAGGGAAGCCCGTAAGCAGAGGTGGGGAGGGGGAGCTTTCCACGCATGGGGCAGAGGCAGTGCTAAGTCATGCAATGGTAAATGGAGTATTGTGTTGAAGGAACAGCAAGAAGACCAGGGGAGCTGGAGCAGAAGAGTGTATGAAGGGGAGTAAAGAGTAAAGTAGGGCAGCTAGGTGGTGCAGCAGAGTGTGGAGCCTGGAGTCAAGAAGACCTGAGTTCAAATCTTACTAGCTGTGTGACTCTGGGCAAGTCACTGAACCCCCTTTGCCTCAGTTTTCTCATCTGTAAAATGGGCTGGAGAAAGAGAAGGCAAACCACTCCAGTATCTCTGCCAAGAAAAGCCCAAATGGGATCACGAAGAGTCAGACATGACTGAAAAACAACTGGTAAGAAAACTAGAAAGATGGGGAGGGAGGCAGGGCCTATTCTTTGCTGAGAAAAGGTGCTCCTTAAGGGCAGAGGCCACATCTTCACCTCAAACTGTGGGATCCCTGAAGGGAAGAGCTGTGTCTCTGTAACTACTTGTGCTCAGTCACCGATTGCTTGACCGACATTTTGGGGGTTCACGTTAGACAGCCTCCCTTCTGCTTGGCTAAGAAAGCTACTAAATGCCCACGTGCCCTGGCAGAATTATAGCCAGAATCCAGACAGTCTGCAGAGAAGCACGCTGGATTGGGCCCTGGGCTGAAAGGTTCTCATCCATCCCTTGGCTCTGGGCTCTCAGCTGAGGATGCTTGTGAATGGCTATTTCTGTGTATGCTACAAGGACTGGAAGGAAACGTTGAGCACTGATGCATGGGGGGAAGGCAGGATCCAAAGGGCTTGGCTGGCAAGGGAAGA